GATCATGCAGAAGAAAAAAAAAAAAAAACAGCTCATTAGTTTTTCAGTGATAAATCAATGATTTACTTTATTTAATAAATAATTGCCTGAAAATTAATTAACTCTTTTGTCATTGATTTAAGTAATTTATCAAGAGGTTGAGCGTTTGCTGGTTCTCACATGAGGAATTCATATTTTTCCGTTTAGAGATTCACTAACCTTGAATCCACACTGGAAGCGTTTTCTACACCCGTCTCACGCTGTAGATAGAATTCCATTATATCAAATGAGGTGGTCCACAATGGATCCGAGAGACGCGCCTCCCACAGAACCCTCGTGGGTCCATCTTAACAGACGGCTGTTTAAATCACACAAACTTTTCTTTTTCTACTGGAATCTATTACGATTGATCAGGCTGCTTTGTTTCACCTTCACCCTCTGTAACGAGCCGGGGTAAATCAATACAATGACTAAATCTGTAGGCTACATAAAAACACTTTCTTACTGATTAGTCTACGTGAAAACTGTTTTCGTCGAGTACATTTGTGCGGTCTGTCCGCCTGGTGAAGACTCTTCCCCCGCCGCCGTTCTGCTGACACACAGACGGCTGTTCTGATGACAAACGCAATGCTCACATCTCGCTTTTCAGTGCTCATCATGTTGTTGTGCATCACCTTTCACTCGGGTGAATGGTTAATGAGTTCTTTGTAAATTTCATAGATTAACCCAGAAATAGTTGCAGCCTTAATTTAAAATGAAAATCGTTTTTTTTGTAAAAGAAGAAATCATCCGGATCAGATTATAGATACTGTTGACTTTGATAATACGGTGAAGCAGCAACTTTTTCTCTGTCAGTTGTTATGAAAAAGACCAGTAAATGTAATTTTTTTACTACCTGTGGGTTGTGGTCTTTGACCCTGGCCAGCCACAGTCACAAATGAATTTCTCCTCGACACAAAACATTTCGTCATATTACCATAAACGATCTGTGCGATTATTTGAATGTGGAGATCAGAGCCTCCTTTACCTTTTATTATGGTAAAGTCCTGTATTATCATTTGAATGACCATCTTTAATAATAGAGTAGTGGGCCTTAAACCCAGATTGGCTGAGATGTGAGGATTGGTGGATTTATCCCAGGACCTCGTTTTCTCAGAGGTGGATTGTGGGAAGTGAAGGTCGTTCTTTGGCGCGAGATGTTTGCTCACGAAGGATAAGTGGTTCAAACGCTGGATGTGCAGAGTGATGGGTTTTTTCCTTCTTCGTCTTTGCTCCTGAAAGACAGAGCTGAGAAAGGGAATTTTTTGAGATGCAAAAGCCTCTCAGCAGTTGCTGGTGAACCGTTTTGTGCCACAGTACGATGTGTTTCGAAGGACGGGCTGATTTTTGCTCCACTGTAGTTCAAAGCAACAAAAATCTGCCCAAGTACACGGGCACCATCAGCGTCAAAGTTTTGCAGTTGAAGCTACTAAGATGTTTTTACACATAGGGTTTAAACCTCGTCGTGTCTGATTAGGATTCAGGCTCATGGAGGGTTTTAAATGTCAGCCCAGCCCTGTTGGTCTGATCACACTGGATTTTAAGCTCTGTGCTGCAGTGGAGCTTCAGCAAGAAAAGGGCAAAGAAAAGCTTTTTCATGTCCTAGTTTTTTGGGGTTTTTTCATTTTATCCTGTTGCATTGTCGCTCAGGATGATTCTTAAGGTCTAACACTAAGTGAAAAGGCATAGCAGTGATTCTACACACGTCACCAACGTGAACCGAAAGCTGAGCAGGCGCCATTAAATCAAACAGTTTTCTCACTTGTCAAGTCCTTTATCAAACACAAATTTAGTTTGAGCTCCGCAGTTTGCTGCTTCTCTGTTTTATCTTCCAGTTTTCACCGTTGGTTTGACAAAAACCAGCAATTCATGAAGTTTTAAAAATATTTGACTTTTAATAAGATTTGTGTTTTTGCTGTAACATGCTGCTGACCTGATTAGGTCCCATACGTCCCTTTTTATTTGCTCATTGACTTATACAATTGTGTGTTACGTAAATAATGTGTCTTAGGTCAAGAGCTGCTGTAAAAACCTTCGTTGTGCCATTCATAATGACAAAGATTCTTGACTTGACTCTAATTAGAGGCCTTATACAGTCCTTTTATATTCAGCAGAGTGGACTCTGGTCTTCTCGTAACTGCAGCAGGAACCAGGAGAGCTGTGCACATTTCTGCTGCTCTTTACTGTCTCCGTTAGTTATAGATTTAAAGTGTGCTGGTATATAAATCCAGCAAGGGCTCTGAGATCTTTATTGAATTCAGAACACTTTAACTGCACTCAAATCATTTCCCCCCCTTTATCATCTGCAAAACAGTTTGAATTGCCTCTGTGTTTAAAGATGCTATACAGATTAGAACCTCATTTATTAATCTGATTATTTTTTAGATTGTTTGGTGTATAAAAGAAAAATGTACATCACAATCTGCAGATGGCTTGTTTTTCCTGACAAATTGTGTTTATAGGCAGCAAATCCTTATTTAAGAAGCTGGAGCTTCAGCTGACTAGTCGTGGCTGCACTAACACAACTTGCCTTGGCAGTAACAACCTAGACCTATTAACAGTTAATGAACTAATGAACAGCCCTTACTAGATGGTGAATGTTTCCAGTCTGCTGTAACAGCCACAGATATCTAGAGGTTGTGTTTATCTGTCTGGTAAAACGCAGGCAGTAGTGACCTATTAAAGTGAGCGACTGTTTGTGTTGATTTGCAGGGCTGTGCCTCCTGGAAGTGGTACTTCCCTTTCCACTACGCCCCGTTCGCCTCTGACTTCACAAACATCAAAGGGATGTTCACCGAGTTTGAGAAGGGGACCAAGCCAGTAAGAAACAGACTGAAGCCTTCTTTCTCTCCTCAGCCTCCTCCTCTCACTCCGCTTTTGTCTCCTCTTTTCTTCAGGGTGGTTTGCCATTAACGCTGAAACAAAGAAAAGCTTATTTGTTGTTAGAACTTGTCGAATAGCTTGCACTCGCATAATGCCAGTACACTCAGGTGACATCAGGTCATTTTAGACGGTCCACGGCAGATGGAAGTGTCATTACAGGAAGACCACGGCAGAGTGTTCACACTAACAGAGAAACCAAGCGTTCCCCATATGATACTGGCCATTCGGGGTTATGTTTTTGATAAAGATCATCATCTTCTGGTGCACATTAAGAGATTTTCTCTTTGTTTTTTGGCTTTTCTCAGTCTTTGGAGCCATTTTTCTGGAAAAAAAAAACTAAACTAAACAAAAAACAAAGGCTTTACATTTTTCCTGAGGAAGAAACTTGTCGTTTTTAATGGTATTTCATTATTGTCTAACAAACACAATGAGAAATGATTAAAGTCATGTCCACCTCTCAGTATAATCTGCTGTTGGCTGGAGTTTAACGTTAATAATTCATTTCATACTGACAGTCTGAGTTTTGCCACTAATATGCTGCTGTGTATAAGAATGACGTGTGTGGTTGTGATGTGCAGTTTAAGCCACTGGAGCAGCTGATGGGAGTGTTTCCTGCTGCCAGTGGCAACTTCCTGCCCTCATCGTGGCGGAACCTCATGACCAGTGAGGTAAGTGTCTGAAATGACAGGGTTGCACAGAGTTCAGGAGACTGTGGTGATAAATCAGAGGCCAAACTCTGTAGTGAATATACATGTACAACACGTGTGTGTGGAATTTAACTTTTCAAAAGTCCTTTCTCAGAGCAAAAAGAGGTTTCAGGCAGTCTCCTCTTAAAATTTGCTGCTCTTTTTTACAAGTTGTTGTAGTTCTTCCAATTTCTCCAGCTTCATTTAAACTCTTCTTTCGACACAGGATTCTTCAATCATTGATTTCTACCCTGACGACTTCGCCATTGATCTTAACGGCAAGAAATACGCCTGGCAAGGTGAGTCACTGTCCTGCTAACTGATTTGGATCTCAAAGGTGGGTCAGGGTTCAGATGGTTTTATTTCTTTTACTTTTATGAAACATTTGTCCAGATTATTCAGTGGCGTATTTTTGGTCATTTATTCTCTGACTTGGTTTGTAGTCTAAGTGCAGTCTGAGCAATGAAAACTCTCCTGACACATTTTTGCTCCCCTTTCATTTTCAGATATGTCTGACACTCAAATAATTTGAGCACAGGTTATTGTTAATTGTTGTATTATTGTTTATCTGTTTCTTTTCGAAGGTGTGGCCTTGTTGCCTTTTGTGGATGAACGGCGGCTGAGGGCGGCTCTGGCCGACGTCTACCCCGACCTCACACCTGATGAAGGTGAGCAACTCTCCCAGTTGCTGCAGCAGAGTGAAACTGGTCCTGTAATGAAAGGTGCTTCTGTGTTAACCTGGAAAGATCGGAAGGGACACGAGGGTCAAATCCAGGGTTAACATGGGTTTGGCTGCTTGACATGGAGAGGGTTAAAAGCAGCCAAAGGACTCAGATGTGGCATTCTTCCTTCTGGATGTGTTGGCATCTAAAGTTGATGTGTCTGTTTTGGTAGCATTAGCCACCTAGCATGGTCAGGATTTTACGTTTGCATTGAATTAATAGGATTTTAATTTGGGAGTAACTGGAGCTTTGTGTCACAGCAGTAACCAGAATGTTCCACTGGGCGGACATGTTTACTGTTAGCCAGCTAACGCTAGCTTCAGACTGCAGGCTGCATTTTGCAGTTTGTCCCAACCAGACATCCATAGTTTATGTTGTTGTTATGAAACAGGATCTCAGTAGGCCCTCTAGTGGCTGAAAAGACATGTTGTTGAGTATCTTTCATTTGTTTTACAGACTTTTCAGGCGTTTTTTCATATAATGATCCAACAACACAGTTCACTCTAAAGCGCTACGTTTTCAGTGATCTGTCCTTTCTTCTCATTCACCAACCCTCTCGACCCATCATCTTTTCTTTCCTTTTACCAGTACAACCAGAGCTGCAGTCTCTCCAGTAATCACTGGTTTCACCTCTCTGACCACAGCTGCTGTTTGTTTTGCAGTGAAAAGAAACAGCCTGGGAAGTGACTTGTTGTGTCTGGGCAAGTCTCACCCACTCTTGGACTTCATCCAGGAGCTCTACCGCACAGAATCTCAGGAGGTAACAAAAGTCAATATCCCAGTCGCATCAGATTTAACTGAAGTATTACACATAAATGTTTTAAAGTTTTTCAGTGCACTCGTAGACAAGAAGCTGATGTGAAATGTGTAGAAACAGGAGAAAGCTTTACCATAAACTCGACAACATAGCACTAGGTTTTATCACAGTCAAGTCACGTTATTGTTTCTTATTTTTGTCAAATATCTTAACTTTGATGTAATGCACACGCTTACTTTTCTTCTGTAGATCAGACTTTGCTATGAAAAGCTCTGCGTCACTCTGCTGCAGATGTGTCGAGGTTTTGCAGGTGTCGGCTCAGTTGGATTTAATCTCGTTGATTACACATTTGTAAACCGAAGCAATTGTTTAGATTCATGTTTTACTCACTAGTTGAATACTTGTTAATGAGCATGTGAAACTACAGCAGCAAGTAAAACTGCAAACATCAACCAGGTCTGATCAGATTCAGTTTGTTCTGATTGTGGGTCATTAAAATGTAATGGAAATGTCCCTTTTCACACCTTTTGTCTCGTTCAGGCCACTGAGATCCCTGCAGAGCTGTGTCATGGAATCCAAGGTACATTAAACCTTGATGATGACCCTATTCTACCAGATAAGTAAGGAACGCCTGCTTTGTTGTCCCTTTTGTACGACTTGTTCCATGTTTTCTAACCTATTGAAGGAGAGCCCGTCCAGTGTGACAGCTCTGAGCTGCTCATTTATTCATTCTATATTGACATTTATCCTTCAGGACGGTGAAGTCCCCCATCCCACAGCTGCGTGACATCTCACAGAACAGTGCGATCGGGTAAGAATAGCCTATCATCAACGTGAGCTCTGAAAACAGAAGAAATTAACCCTGAGATTAAAACATTCACTCAGTTAGTAGCACTTTTGTTCCAGGTTGAGAGCGCTGCCATTTGAATACATGTCACAAACGGTCTAAAGTGTAAAAAATAGAAAAAGGACGATAGATGAGGTGAATCCTCTGGATTTATATACAGTGCCTGGACAGCTGTGCTGCCTTTGTCCCTAAATGCCTCCACTTGATTTCTGACTCTGCTTATGTTCATTTGACTAGAATAAAAAATAAAGATTTAAGCAAAATGTTCAGATGCTACAACACAACCAAGACCTAGCTAATGTCAAACATGAGAGGAGGTGGACGGAGTAAGAGGAGCAAATTTAGCAGCCATGCAGTGGCGACAGCGGGGAGGAAAAATTCTCTTTAACAGAAGAAACATCAGACACCGGCTCTTGGTGGGCGGCCTTCTGCCTCGACCAAATGATTGTCCCATTAAAACGTGAGTTAATGGAGCGCTATTTTTTTTTTTTAATTGAAAGTCATTTTCTTCTCCTTTGCAGAATCAAGTTCAAGGATCCTGCGTATGCAGATGGCTTTGTGTTCAAGGCGGTCCTCCTGCCTGGAGCCAAGTAAAGCTCTTTCTATTTATCTCAGAATTGGCTTAATGAACATTAAAGGTTCTTTTCGGGTTTTGAGACGTTTCATTTTGCTCTTTATTAAAATAAAAATGTAGT